CTCCCTGTCTCTCTGTCTCCCTGTCTCTCTCTCTCTCCCTGTCTCTGTCTCCTCCCTGTCTCTGTCTCTCTCCCTGTCTCTGTCTCATCCCTGTCTCTGTCTCCTCCCTGTCTCTGTCTCTCTCCCTGTCTCTGTCTCCTCCCTGCCTCTGTCTCCTCCCTGTCTCTGTCTCATCCCTGTCTCTGTCTCTCTTCCTGTCTCTCTGTCTCCTCTCTGTCTCTGTCCCTCTCCTTGTCTCTGTCTCTCTCCCTGTCTCGGTCTCTCTCCCTGTCTCTGTCTCCCCCCTGTCTCTTTCCCTGTCTCTGTCTCTCTCCCTGTCTCTGCCTCCTCCCTGTCTCTGTCTCTCTCCCTGTCTCTGTCTCCTCCCTGTCTCTCTCCCTGTCTCTGTCTCTTCCCTGTCTCTGTCTCCTCCCTGTCTCTGTCTCTCTCTCTGTCTCACTGTCTCTCTCCCTGTCTCTGTCTCCTCCCTGTCTCTGTCTCCTCCCTGTCTCTGTCTCTCTCTCTGTCTCACTGTCTCTTTCCCTGTCTCTGTCTCCTCCCTGTCTCTGTCTCTCTCCCTGTCTCTCTCCCTGTCTCTCTGTCTCTCTCCCTGTCTCTCTCCCTGTCTCTCTGTCTCTCTCCCTGTCTCTGTCTCCTCCCTGTCTCTGTCTCCTCCCTTTCTCTGTCTCTCTCCCTGTATCTCTGTCTCTCTCCCTGTCTCTCTGTCTCTCTCCCTGTCTCTGTCTCCTCCCTGTCTCTGTCTCTCTCCCTGTCTCTCTGTCTCTCTCCCTGTCTCTGTTTCTCTCCCTGTCTCTGTCTCCTCCCTGTCTCTCTCCCTGTCTCGGTCTCTCTCCCTGTCTCTGCCTCCTCCCTGTCTCTGTCTCCTCCCGGTCTCTGTCTCTGTCCTTGTGCACGTGTCTCCCTTCTCTGTCCCTCCATCCCCCTCATTCTTCTCTGACTCACCCCAGCCTCCTGCCAGCGCGCACATGCCTGGCCTCCCCCACGCTGCTTCCATGCACTCCGGGGCCCCTGCCTCCTGCCCTTCCCTGCTCCGTTTCCTCCCCCTCCTGCTTTGCCGTGTCTGCACTGTTCTTCCGCTTCCGTCTTTCCTCACGGTGTTCTCTGTGAGACTCCTGCGGCTTTCATTGACCTTGCCTGGCAGTGGGAAGTCCCAGGCCGGTTCCTTCTCCGGCCTTTGCCCCAGCACCGCTGTTCTGTCTCCTGTTCTGTTGGGAGTTCCAGTTCTCCAGAGGGCCAGGGACAGTGGATATCTGAGTTCTGGAGGAGCGGAGTGACAGTCTAGTCTCATCAAAGCCACAGAAAAGAGTTACGGGGCAGCATAGCCTGGGAAGAGCCCGGGTGCAGGCAAGCCAGCCCTCCCAGGCAGTCAGCACAGCCAGTCGTGCAGGCTCCCAGGGCCCTGCTTCTTCATCTCGGACACGGGAAAGAAGATGGTGGCGGTGGTGGTGGTGATGACACTGCCGGCAGCCATTGTTTATAGTCAGAGGGATCAGCCGAGGGTGTGATTAAAACACAGATGCTCAGGCTCCACCCTGACCCGCTGGTCCAGACTCCCCTGGGGCGACCTGGGTTTGTATTTTAATGCTGCCTGCTCCCCACCGTAATTCAGCTGCGTTCCAGGTGCCTGGTCTGGAACGTGAGAGGGGAACCTGTCCCCACCCTCGGGGACACTCCCACCCAGGAGTGCGATTTGTGTTGGGACCTGGCTTCCTTTGTTTCCATGCGGAGTCAGCTCCAGGGATCGTGTTTTGGTTGAGCTGTTTTTTCCAGAGCTCTCTTTCAGGCTGACCCACGTGTGTCTTGGTTTCTTGCCAGGTCATTTGCTAAGCCTCCGAAGCAGGTGCAGACGGTCTGCGAATGCATCCTCATCATGAAAGGGTACAAAGAGCTCAACTGGAAAACCGCCAAGGGCATGATGTCTGACCCGAATTTCCTGAGGTCTCTGATGGAGATTGATTTTGATTCGATCACACAGAGCCAAGTGAAAAACATCAAAGGTGAGTGTAGCCGTGTGTGGGAATCACCAGGGTGGATCTCGGTCTGGCATCTCAGTCTCTGGGACAGGGAAAGAAGGCAAGGAGGCTTGTCACAGGAGGCCCTCCCCTTGCAGTCAGATGGTATCAGATGGAACAGGCGACTATTGGTCACCAGGAAAACAGCAGCCCCATGGCGTGACCCAGGGAGCGTGGCTGGGGATGGGCAGCGGCAGCCAAGCCCACCTTGTTCAGTTCAGCACTAGTCCTAGCTCTCCCTGTCGGGAAACAAGATCATCTCGTTGGAACTGAGCCCGGCCTTGTCTTCTGCGCGTCTCATCCAGTGCGCGTGCAGGAGCCCAGAGCTGCTCTGACCTTGGCTTCCCTGCTTTCTCTTCTTGTCAGTATCAAGTCTTCTGGAGGTCCCTGGGGAGTGGGCATGGTGGGGGGCAGCATCACTGACGGCCAGCCTCTCCCCCGTCTTTGGCTATAGCACTGAGTTCCCTTTGAGCCCAGTTCCTGACCCTGCCCAGTGCTCAGCCAGGCGGTGATGGTGGAATGTGTTACTCTTTGCAAAAAGCAATACAAGTTCACACTGTGTTCGATGGCTTATTTGGACTCTTATCATCAAACATTTTTTCTTAGTCCCTTAAAAACAAAAGCAAATTTAACACAAATGACCCCAACCACTAGAAAAATGCAAGGCATTCGCTCTGTCTGAATCTTCATTGGATGGACTTCTACTTACGTGAAATTAGTCCCGGGGTGAGGGTGCGGGTGAAGGTGACACAGGTAATGGCCTGTGAATTCTAGTTAGCCACCTGGGTGCCCAGTTGGGAGTCTCCATTGTGTCCTGGGTTCCCGGCGTGACACCCGCGTCCCAGGTAGCAGTAAACCATGCACCTCGCCCACATCTGAAACATCCACTTATGCAGAGCCCGTTCTGGTTTGGCACCAGCTGAAGGAGAGCTGTGTGCATTCTGCTCACAGGGTCCCTGAGGAAGAAGAAACAAGTTACGCTTACTTTGTCCACGGGCAATTTGTTCCCTATTTTATGTTCTCAAGATGAAGCTTGCACTCATAAAAATGATTGCATGTTTCACATTAGGCCTCTTGAAGACTCTCAATACCACAACTGAAGAAATGGAAGCTGTCAGCAAAGCCGGGCTGGGGATGCTGAAATTCGTCGAAGCTGTAATGGGCTACTGTGATGTTTTCAGAGAAATCAAGCCCAAAAGAGAGAAGGTATTGCCCAACTGTAGGACTGCCACAGTACTGCCAGCAGACCCGCTTAGAGTCAGAATTAACATGTACACACCTTTGCTGAAAAGATTCTCCCAAGGTTCTGACTTTAAACTTATGCAGTTTAAGTGGGGCGTGGTGGCTCACACCTGTGATCCCAGGACTTTGGGAGGCTGAGGTGGGCGAATCACTTGAGGTCAGGAGTTCAAGACCACCCTGGCCAACATGTTGAAACCCCATCTCTACTAAAAACACAAAAGAAAAAAATTAGCTGGGCGTGGTGGTGGGCGCCTGTCATCCTGGTTACTGGGGAAGCTGAGGCGGGAGAATCTCCAGAAGGCTGCAGTGAGCTGAGATGGCGCCATTGCACTCCAGCCTGGGAAACAGAGGAAGACTCCATCTCAAAAAAAAAAAAAAAAAATGCAGTTTAAACATTCCTCCCGCCCCCTAATAAATGGTAATCCTGAAACACAACTATCATTTAGGCATCGTGCAGGTGGTAGACAAAACCGAGGTCTGATTTTCAACCTGTATGTGAGAGTGTAGCATAAAAGATGTTTAGGCCAGGTGCGGTGACTCTTGCCTATAATCCCAGCACTTTGGAAGCCCAGGTGGGAGGTTCGCTGGAGCGCAGGAGTTTGAGAGCAGCTTGGGCAACATAGTGAGACCCTGTCTCTACAAAAAAAATTTAAAAACTTAGCCGAGCATGGTGGCACACACCTGCACTGCCAGCCACTTGGGAGGCTGCAGTGAACCGTGATTGTACCACTGCACTCCAGCCTGGGCGACACAGTGAGACCCTGTCTCAAAAAAAAAAAAAGATGTTTAAAGTTGTTTCTCTAGGGTCAAGGCAGAGTTTTTCAGTGGCAGCACTGTTAAAGCGCTGCGTGGGGTCTGTCCTGGGCGCTGCAGTGGTTTAGTCTCACCCCACTGGATGCCAGCAGCACCCTCCCTCCAAGCTGTGACATCCAGAAATGTCTCCAGAAATTACCGAATGTCCCCTGGGGACAAAACTTGTCCTAGTTGAAAGCAGCAGGGCCAAAGTAACATGTAGATCACAAAATACAAAGTGAGTAAGGCTGATTTGATAATTTGGAGTCATATTGTGACCTTGCTTTATAGCTCAGTTTTATTATTCAGAAAACTTAGAACTAATAGAAATACTGTTATTGTCTGTGGTATATTCTTCTGAGGTTTTTTTTTTTTT